TCCACTAAGTTTCCATAAACAGATCTGAGAGTTATGAGAGGGTGTAACAAAGCACGATGTAGGAAATTCATAGCATCAATATCTCGGTGTTGTGGATCAGTCAGAGTTAACACTTGATGGACCAAGGGTAGCTCCCCTTGAGAATACGTGGCTGCTGCAGATACAAGATGATCTTCAGTAAGCTTCTCCCCGGAATATTCTCCTCGATCCATCCAGTCTGAAATTTTCAAAATTCATACTTCATTGATGATCCCAAAATGTTATTACTATATTTCTCTAAGGTTTTTGTTAAAGTGATAAAACTTCAAATAAAATGACTAAAAACCAATTTCATAGTACAAAAATACATATTTCAGTTAGTGAAAAATCAAGGATGAACGGTGGGACATGTAACACAGATTAGTGGAATAAGAAATGCATACAAGGTATCTGTGGGAAATAGGAAGACCTATGTATATTATAATATTAATAGTAGTAAAGTTAATAATAATTCATTCACAGAACACTAGAATGTACTCATAATAATAGCATGGCTGTATAGTTTCAAGTCATACATGTTAAATAATCAGTCTCTTCTCACCCCCATTATCTTCCTCAGCCATTTCATTCATTACTGGATGGTTTTCTCCTCCTTCCTTTACAGTAGAAATATCGTCATCACTTTCCTGTTTTTGTTCATTCTCCTCAAACGAAATCTGGGCTGGTTCAACTCGTTTGTCTGTATTCTTTTCTACCAATTGCATTCTTCGTTGAAGTTGGGTTGTTGTGATGAACTCCTGCCCTGATGAGAGACTGGAGGGACAAGTAATCATCAAGAGTATGTTTACTATATAAAAATGTTCTCTGTGACGTCTGTATAATACACAGGCTCTCATGCAAATACAAATGTATTGTTCAAAAGCTAATCACGCTACGTAATGCAGTGACAGGAATTACTCTTTATTATATTTTGTTAGACACACAACCTACCAGAAAATATTTAAAATAAAGATAATAGAACTTCATGAGATCTATATTTCATGTCATGTATCAATTTATCACATTCTGTATAATAAGCCATTTTTATTTACAGAATTTGATTGCAGCTTTTGTAAAGTAGAGTTATACTGACTGATTAACTAACTAATCAAAAAAGTAGCATCCTTGAGCCTGCCACTGGACCATATCCCAACTCAAATTAATCTAGTCCACATCCTCACATCCTGCTATTTTAAGGTCCTTTCATCTATGTCCAAATCTGTGTTCTTTTTCCCTTCAGGTTTCATGACTAAAATTTAAAATGAAAGGGATTGAAATGAAATTACCCTTTGGTAGATATTCAAATTGCAACCATCCTTAATTTTTACAAGATCATCTCAGTCCATCCAGGCAAGTACTGGAAAGCTATCTTGAAACAGACTATCCCTACATTTCACCCATTCATCATTCACATTTATAATCCTCTATTTTTATTCCACAGAATCAGAAGTTGACAAAATACAACTTTTATTTACCAAGACGGCTGATATAATGGTAACATTCTGTGCCTGTATTCAAAAGGTACCTGGTTCAAGTAAGTTACCAGTTATTCCACCCAAGGTTTTTCACATTTTTCCTGTTTCTCCAAATGAATTCTGGGAAAGGACTTTAAAATAAACCATGAACGTCTTTTTCAAAATCTGTACCTACGCACCATTCATCATTCCACTTCATGCTATCTAACCTCTTTGAAAACAGTGTCGTGGAATAACCTGATAATCAGTAAATACATTTTTATTACCTTGAAAACATTTCCCGAGCAGCTTTCCGTACCAGTTTTTCATCTTGAGACATGTTCAGGCAAGACTTGACATCCACATAATTATGCTCTGTTATTCCTAAATAACACAACAAAAAATATCTGATCAGCGAGACTTGACCAATAAATTCTATTGTTGTTGTTATTGCTACTACGTCTTAGGAAAGTAATAGGTTTCCAATAAATCTTACCTTTCCCTGTTTCTAAGCACTGCTTCAGAATATTTGTGGCTTCTATGTTCCCTTGCTCGGATGCTTTTATCAGCCAGTATACTCCAAGCCTGGAATTCTCTTCTTTATCCACATCCAGTTCTGAATGAAAAAGGGGCACAGATAATAGGCTTGTCTGGCATTTCACAGGCAAACTTGTCACAAAGTCCCAATTTAATTTTGTACACATACATTTTTATTATTATTATTAGTGTTCTGTCTGACGACAGGATCCTTCCATCCTTTTCTCGGACTGGGACCTGTTCATATACGTTCTTGGCAGATGATCCAGAAGTGGTTTGCCATTGCCTTCTTCTGTGTGTGAATGGAGTAATTGTGGGGATGCCACGGAGGAAAACTCCGTGTTGCCGAGACCACGGCCTTGCCCAACACAAGTGATAAATTCGAACCCGAG